TTTTTTCTATTATATATAGGCAACAAAAACACATCGATTAGGACTCGGGGACCCCCTGGGCCGTCGTTCGTTCGTGGTGCGGGTTGAAATCCGCGAACACACCCCTACCGGAGGTTGCGCCGGCGTCCACTGGTCGGGAGCCTGGGCGAAGGGACAAGACAAGGGAGGCGGAGGTGCCTGCTTTGAGCAGCGCCCCGTGGTCCGCGACCAACCTTCGTTCGCAACGACTGGCCATCGGCGAAGTGACTGGGATTCTTTCAATTCACCTGCGGCTGTTTGAACTCTCAAGGAGCAAACGATGAGGGAAGAATCACGCATATGACCACGCAAGTGGCATACTGAAATATAATCCAATGTCATCAAACGATCTTACCTGGCCCCAAAACATGTTGCATAAAGCTACATACTTCCCATTCCCCAAGCAAAGTTGCATTTAATCAGAGCCTTTACGATAACAACCTTAGGGCTCTGGCGAGAGTTATCAACTCAAAGATAATTGTGAGAGAACACTCACGGCCCCTCAGGGAAGCCTTGGACATTTGGGTCATTGAGCTGTTTGTGTCACATATTTTTTTGGGAACGTTTCACTGGCTGTGATGGCTGATAGCCAGGCTGATAGCTGTGATGTTTTGTGCACCTTGGATGCAAAAGGTCCCGACTCCAGTCTCACCTGGAGAGGGCGGCAGCGGCAGAGACGGGTGTGAAAACTGCGATGCAATCGCCAGTCTGCAGGGTGAAGCGTTCGTCATCGTGATAGGTGACGAAAGGGAAGCACCTGGACCTGTAGTATACGGGTACCTATGAGATCCTATGAGGCTATGAGGAATAGAAAGAGAAGTGAGGAAGGTGGGAAAGTTTGGACATTGGGATATACGCAACTGGTCTGCTGAAGGTTTTCTATCTGGTTGGATTGGAGGGTCCCCAGAGTCAGAAAATCAAGGCCCGCGACTTCAAAAACCGGCCAAACTGGCGATTTCTTCAATTGAATTGGGCCAAACTAAACTCTTTAGTTGAGAAGGGTAAGGGTGATATAAGAAGGGTGATACTATGTGATACTGTTAGCACAAAGTCAGTCCTGCACGACGTCACTATGAGGATCTATATGAGGAGTATTTGCAGGGCGAACTCAGAAACTTTGGTCCCAGTTGCTTTTGAGCCCCTGTGAAGGGCTCGCTTTTGAAGACATCCCCACCATGGGGGAAGAAAGAAGCTCCACCAGTCGCTCGTCATTTTTGTCGCGCATGGTGATGTGTGGTGATGTGTGGTGTATTCGCCCTTCAACCCATGCTTTGCGGTGGAGGTCGTTCTTTCGGTCGTTCTTTCGGTTAGAAACAGGATGTCCATAACTAGTCACCCTTCATTCAGCCTTCCAGAACGATCGGATCCAGTCCAGCTCAGAACACAGCGAGCTTCGCCCATGTGGGGCAGACCTCGGGACCAACGCGTCCGTCGACTGGACCCGGTGGTCAGTGGACTGGGGGTCCCATGGTCCAATGGAGGAATTGGACCAATTCCTCGTCCATTTCGAACACAGCGATGGCCTCCAACCGATCGCCCCACATGGCCAAGATCCAGACATTGAACGAAATTCAGGTCGAAAGCTCGCCACCGAACGTGGACCAGACTGTCTAGCCCTATGTCTTGGCTGGATCGTTGGGCGAACGCATCGGATGACCCGTCCCCACATGTTCCACTAAGGCAGTACGGCCGAGCCGCTGCGAAGAGGTGGGCACAGACGGACGCACGAAGCTGTGAGGCGTGAGGCCACATGCAGAGGGTACAGCACTGTTTGAAGAGGAACATGGTCTTCCAAGGGACCATGCCATCCACTTCCATGTGAGTTCTAGGGAGGGTAAGCATTGCATGGCGAGGCCTGGCGGTGCATGAGCAATTGCTACTTCGTGCTTGCTGCAGTGCCAGCCGCGAGGGCCCCTTGGAAAGGAAAAACCGATCATCGTCCTTCGTGAAGCGGTTCGATCCGGGTGGTGGGGTGACGCCGGTTACGCCACAACGTGTGACCCGAAGCTTCCAGGTATGGCTGTTGTCAGAAGTGGGAGAAATCCCATGCATTTCCTTTCCAACTTCTTGTCCGGGGAGTCTGTCAAGGATGGGCTCAAGGACTCAAGGCGAGCGGTGCCGGTCTCCCTTTGTCAAGGTTTTGGATCCTGAACACTTAGATCGCTCGTCAAAAGTTGACGCGCCAGGAGTAGTAGGAGCACCAGCAGCAGCCGCCAGGAGCGGCGGCAGCAAGAGGAGTAGTAGTAGCAGCAGCAGTAGCAGCACTAGTAACACTAGTAGCACTACCAGTTGCCAGTAGCTGAAGATTGACAGGTTTGCTGTTTGATAGTCTCCTTGTAGAAAAACAGGTTCCCCACTGTTACCGTAGGCAAAGGTGCTGCGCATGTGTGTCGTAGGCTGGCACTGTGGAAACGTAGGCGAATGGTAGGCTTTGCCGTAGGCGCCCTTCATGGTAACACCCTACACAATTCAAAGAAACTCTGCTCATGGGTCAACAAAAAAGCCGAAATTGAACAGAAGTGAGGCATGAGGAGTTTGGCTACTTTGAGGAAAAATCTATGGGGTCATCGAGAAGGAAGTTGAGCCCAACGTGTTTCAATGGATTTTGGGTGTCCTTTTTCTGCTTGGAGGACCTCTCACTGTACGGGGGCATAGGTATCAAAAAAAAAATAAAAAGAGCATCAAAAAAAAGTAAAAACATGATCAAAAAAAATAAAAAGCGAATCAAAAAATAAATATTCCTTGATAGGCCTCTTCTGCTGCTCTCTTGGCCTTGTGGTCTGCGGGTCCTCTGGTAATGTGGTCCCTTGGTCCTTTGGTCCCTTGGTCCTCTGGTCCACTGGTCCTTCGGTCCCCTGGTCCCTTGGTCCTTCAGTCCACTGGTCCCCTAGTCCTCCGGTCTCCTGGTCCTCTGGTCCTGTGGTCCGCTGGTCCCCTGGTATCCTAGTCCTTCTGTCTCCTGGTCCGCTGGTCTTTTGCTCTCCTACGGCGCTCGTCTGTCGATCTCCTGGTCCCCTGCTTGCGCAAATAGAGGCTTGATTGCTTTCTACTAGAGGCAGCTCCCTGGGAAGAAAGTAGGTACCCAACGATAAGGTTGCCGTCCAGTCATTGAGTAGCCCTACTCGAAAAATGGTTCACCAGTAGAAATAGCTCCCTACTAGGAGGGGCAGTGGGCTAGAATATTTTTTTTTATTCCCTTTTTATTTTTTTATTGATCCCCGTTGAATATTTTTTGTTGATTCTTTTTTTATTTTTATTTTGATCCCTTACCCCTGTACGGGGAGATAGTGAGATGGCATTCCCAAGTATCAAAATACTGCAGGAGAGGACGAGTTTTGAGGGCGGAGGCCTTTCATTTCATTTTGGAGAGATTGAAGGTCTTGAAGACTGGGATGCGAGCTCATTGGTACAAGTGCGTATCCCACCATGAGAGCGTGAGAATGCAGTGGTGTGGGAAATATGTTCTCCTCCTAAATGAAAGTGACTGGGTGCTCCCACACCCACATCTCTGCCGACTCCATGTGATGGAGAGCTTGATCTTCTCAAAGCTTTTCTTAGGATGCGGAGGCTGGCCCCCAGTCCCTGATGTGGAGCTGAGGAAGCTGAAGAACTGCTACATGGGCATCGTTTGAAGGGTGCTCAATCAGGTGGCAGCAAGTTCAGACAGATGTGGAAATCCTCCAGTGCGCTGGCTCTGTGCCAGTGAAAATCCGATTGGCCCAGCAAAGATTTCTCTTGGAAGCAAGGGTGGCAAGTGGCAAGACATGGGCCTGCGGTCCCCATCCACGAGATGGACATAAGCCAGTGATCTGGAGGATAGTTGGAAGGCTGCACTTGAACAAGATATGCAATGGGTAGCCTCGGCTATGGATGTGACGGATTGTTTGAACCATGTTTGTCTGCTCCACAATATACCTACAGAAGATCCTGAAGCGAGAGGATCACAGGAGGATACTCTGTCTCGTTTTTGTGCGGCATGCGATTCCTGTCCAGTCGTGCCCTTCATTTTTGCGCAAAGTCGACTTGCGCCACGTGGTTTTTTGTACTGTCCGCGTGCGGTCTTTCTGGACTCTGGATAGATTACAGCAACTGCATCAGACCCGATACCTCGAGGCGGGGCTTTGCTGGTGATGGGATTTTTCAATAGACATCCCCACCAAAGGACTGAAAAGATAGGCTGTCCAGAGGCAGTGCGCTTGGCTGTCAGGTGTGCGGGGTCACACCGCACAGACATGACAGCACTTGAGGTCGACTTCCTAGCTTCAAAGGAGGTTCTTGAGAAGGCAGGTGTCAAGTTCACTCAACAGATGAATCTGTCAAGCACACGCTGGGTTCAGACGGAGCGGGCTTATGATAGCACACGCGTGGAGTGCTTTTCCTCGGAAACCGGGAGAAGGCGTCTCAGGGGTGAGACTCTGAGAGGTGGCTTGAAAGCCACGGACTCTCTCACGGCAGCTAAGTTGGTGGCGCAGGCGCAACGAAGCGATCCCCCTCTCGATGTGAGCGAGCTCGTGCAGCTTCCCGATGTGGCGGTCCAGATGCAGCGTTTCAGGAAGTTCGAGGAAGCGCAGACTGCACGGCCTCCCTACCTGGGGCCGGTGAATGCTAAGGAGTGTGCATAGAGTCCTTGCCTAGAGTCCTTGGTTGGGAGCGGTCCACCTTTTGATCGAAATAGACTTTTTCTGCGTTTGCTGCCTAGGCCGTAGGAAAACACCAGTGGATGCATCTTCCCCGTATTTTTGGTGCATCGCGGAACATGAACAATATATTTCAACCGGTCCACATATGGACCATGCTTACTGGTATTGTTGATGCTGCCAAGGTGTCAGTGGCACCTCTGTCTTTTGGGAAGAGGTGCTCAGCAACCGGCAAGCGCGCCACGCAAAGCGCGGTGCCTTGCTGCATTGGGCAGATTACAAAAGGCGGGCTGGACAGGAGGGTCAGGGGGCAGTAGTTGGATGTGTTGTAGATGACCACTACGAAGAGATGTATATATATATATGCATATATTTATGACAATTATTCTGAGTTACACTTGGCGTTACTATATATGTATTATGCTTTAGGATTCGGTTGTTTGGGTCCCACACTGATGGAGTGGCAATGAAATGAAGACCGTTCTGAAACACATGAAAAGGACCTGAAGGGAACGAAGGAATGCAAAGGCGTCGTTTTCTCAAGCCATATGAATGTCGGCTTGTATGTTCCCTCCCAAAAGTGCCTTTCAAGCCCTTTGTTTGGCATGAAATGCAGGGGGATTCGGTTCAAACACACCCTTCATCTCGCCCTTGGCCAGGTGGTTCCAACACACCTTGCTGGAAAGCCAAAAACTCCGCTTGCGGCGGCTCTTTCTCGCCCTGCGCCCGTCCGCGCGCAGCATGATGTTGCGCGACAGGGCGTCTCGGCATCTCAAGGAGTGGTCAGGACCTCGAGGAGCATTGGCGACTGACCACAGGAGTTCACTGGGGGTTGAAGGGATCATTTTTTGTTTTTCAAGGGCCGCAAGTGTTTGAAGCCTATATGATACCACGGGAAGTGTGATTTGGTCCTGAATTGGCGCAATTATGATCTCATTGGAAACTTCTTCTCTAGGCTTATGGTCTATGGTTGGATACTATTTGCGAGAGCGGGAGCGAAGCTAGGTCTAACTAGGTGATTCACAAAGTGGGAAGGGAATGGAAGGGACACGTGTCCTTCGGCGTTGCAAGTGTGACGCTTGTGGTATACAGATGGTCTGCCAGCTCTTTGCAGGAAGTCGTTGATCCCCCGGCCTTACTATAAAACATACCTCTACAAATAAAGGCACTTGTCTCCAGTCCGCCAAAAATATATGTATTGGGTTTGACACTCGTGCTCCTTAACACCTGTTCTTGTGAACTGTTAGGTTCCATAGATTCCCATGTATGTTGCATGAATCAGGGTACCTGCAAAAGCCTCTTGAGTTCACTCACTCTAATATAAAACATAACCATTTTGTCCTTACAAGCGAAGAATCAATATGTTAGCAATAAAGGGTCTTGTAAATCAGATGGAAGACCCTCTAATTTGTTGCTCTTTACAATGAGTGTTTTTTTTTTTTTTTCGGAAAACAACTACCCAAAAAAGAATTGGAATGTAACGTCAAGATCAATACACCTCCCCTAGCCCAAAATAGAAACCACCCCAGGAAACCACCCCAATTAATCCGAGCCCACAACCAGGTCCATTTTTATTATTACTACTGCTGCTACTACTACTACTACTACTAATGCTAGTACTGCTTGCTGCTCCTACTACGCCAACTACTACTGCCGATACTGCTGCTACTACTACTACTACTACTACTACTACTAGTGTTGCTACTACTGCTGATACTACCCACCGCTGACTTTCTAGCGAATTTCCAGAAAATGCCTAGGGTTCAGGGCCTATAAACTTCCTTTTGAATAATCAATAAAGAACAATCAATTGAGAAGCTTAAGGGTACCCCTCACAAGGGTCTGTCCTCCATCAATAATCTGCACTACTACCTCCTAGACTCATTAATTTGATCCTGCATCCCTGGCCTTTTGTGTTTGCTACCACCACTGCTACTACTGCTGCTGCTGCTCCTCCTCCAGCTGCTCCTGCTCCAACTACTACTACTACTACCACCACCACTACTACTACGACGACGACTACTACTACCACTACTACTACTACTACTACTACTACTACTTCTGCTACTACTACTCCTACTCCTACTACTACTACTCCTATTACTACTACCACTACTACTACTTCTACTGCTACTGCTACTTCCACTTCTACTTCTACTTCTACTACTTCTACTACCACTTCTACTACAACTACTACTTCTACTACTGCTTCTACTACTACTACCACCACAACAACAACAACTACTACTACTACTACTCCTGCTCGGGCTCCGCCTCCGGCTACTGCTGCCGCTACCTATAGGAGGGGTACGACTACTCCTAGTCTCCCACTCGTACTGCTTTCTTAGCAGATTATTCAGAGGAGGTGGACCTCATGAATGGTACCTCAGACCTTCTGGATCTTGTTGACCTTCCATGTGGGGGGGGCCGGTTTATTAATCCTGTGTTCACATTCGCATTACTGTATTTTTGTGGTAGTTTTCCATTAAGGGGGGCCTGTTTTACTTCCAACCCTGCTCTTTCATGAGAAACCCACCCCCAGCACCCAAAACCGTCCAGAGTTCCTTTATCAGGAAGGGGCCCACATTGATATTTAGGGACTTAATTTTTGTGTGTTATTTTTTGACGGGGAGGTGTTCCTTTACATCGTTTTGAGGAGTTTTGTTTTCAGGTTTTGTGCGCGCGTTCAATGTTCAGTAGTTTTTTTGAAGATCTACTCCAGTCACAGGCTCAGAGTGAGCAGCAGCGGCATGCCGAGCGTTTGGCGCTGCGGCATGTGCAGCGCTCAGCACAGCGGTGCCTCAAGGAACTCGCGTTGCGCCTGGCAAGGCAGCGCAAGGCGGGCTGAGCAAAATCATTCGCAAACCATACCAAACCGCTCAAAACAGCTCCGAAATCGTTCGTACAAGTGCAAATCGTTCATGAATGCCCCTTGCTCAAATCTGATTGGCGAGAGGGAACGCACCTGATTGAATTGGGTTCAGAGGACTTTGAAGTTGCCAATTCTTAGCCGAACTTTTGGCTAAGGGCACTTGGTTTGATGAGGTTTTTCATGCGCCGTGGCTTCAGGATTGGAGTTTGCCATTGCATAAAAGTGACTAGGTGAAGCTTCACCCACTCTCTTCTATACGTTCTGGGACTTGGTCGTTCTCTCGTTTTGGTGCGAAACTTAAGCAAGAGAGCTGCAAGTAAGAAAATACTTTTTGATCAATCAACCTACCAAGTCGTTCGATTGCCGTTTTTGGCGCTTGCTGAGGATTTCAACGGACGGTTTCTACTTTAACAACAAAAAACCTCCGAACCTTTCGAAGGTTGGTGAGCCTTTCGGGGGGTGGCTGATACTGGATTGGAATTGTCAGACGCATCGTGCGATGTGCGACGATCAGGCACTCCGAGTGCGAGACCGTCAGCTGCAGCGCCAGTGTTTCTCTGCCATCACTGAATGGCAATTGCTGCGGCAGGCCTTCTATTGCCTCGCTGGCAGGAGCACCACTCCGCGGGGTCGAGTTCAGCGTCGAAGAAGAGTACCTTTTTCGCTGAAAGTGGGGGGGGGAACACTAGCGTCAACACTCGGAGATGAGGGCAGGAGCGGTGGGTTTTCACGTGATTTCTGGTGCGTTGGCCTCTGGACCTTCGGAACTGGGATGTCTTGTTTCGTGTGTTGTGTGTCACACCGGTTTCGTGTGTCACAGCTCCCTTCCCAGGAGTGACGGCTCACCCTCGAGGTCAGGCACTGAAGGGTTGAAACGGTGTAAAACGAATTCACAGCGAGGATAGCCATGATGATTGTATCTCGAATGAGTTTGGGAGAATTGGCAATATTGGCAATGGGTGTCCTAGCTGTTGGAGGCACAACCATGGCTATCCTCCAAAACCATATTCACCCAAAAGCCAATTCTGAGTTTTACCATATTTTGGGATTTTTGGGTCCTGAGTCCTAGCTGTTGACAGGAGTGCTTTTGTTTCTTTCATAACGCACATCCACATTGAACGGAGATTCTTGCATTTATATGTAATATATTATACGCTGAAGCAGCCGCTGGCTATGCTAATGAAACGTCCATGATGAGTTCTTTTGTTTCAATTTGGCTTCGAGTCACTGTGGAGAGCGCATTTGCACTTGCTGTAACCCGTCTTTCCAATGACATTGCTCCAATGATATCCAAGCATCCTTCCAAGCGCCCATTGTGAGCCCTCGACTCCAAGTGCATTGTGCAGTAAGCAACCGAGCATTCATGTCTTCCAGGTGGGGATCCGTACCGTCAACATGTCAAAAGTTCCGTCAACGTGCCAAAACGATTTTCACCGTATTAGGGTGAGTTTTCTAAGATTTCTTGAAGATGTCTTTCTTGAATGTCTGCGCCAGTTTATTCAGCTTCGCGGCGCAGTGTCCGTTGCCCCGCGGACCGCGCA